AACCTCTAATATAGGTTAACGCTTAGGCTCTTACGCGTTGGGTCGGTACGACCTCTAATATAGGCTTTATTTTTCCCTCGTTAAAGATTTTTTTGAAGTTTTTATGTTCGTCCGACTCTTCGACGGAAGAACCTCAATTGTGAGTCGTTATGTAGCGATAAATGAGTACATCGGGAGGTTCCGCTCGATGGGATTATTTCGAAGCCTTTTCATTATTTGGAGTTGACATGATCGAAGCTTTTTTGCTTATGCCGAGGGTAGCCTGGCTAACAGGTTCTTTTCGAAGTATTTTTGAAGTAATTGAAGGCATGTGATTTTATGGCGACGATCGGGCATCCCCGAGTCACGTTAGTTTGGTCGGAGCCTTATGATCGTAGTCATTGTGTTTGGCCGTAGCCTTTTAGTCCCAAAGCGAGGTAGCCTCGGCATCTATATCAAAGGTATGCCATTTTATGGGTCTTACAAGTTCGAATATATAGCCTCGACTTTAAGATCGAGATTATGCCTTTTGTAAGGTCTTATAAATTTAAACATGCCTTACTTTAGGTCTTACAGATAGGTTACTTGGCACAAGTATAATTCATGCTTTGCTTGAGGCCTTACAGATTTGGTGTTGCCTTATGGAGGTCTTATGAGATTGGGGTTGCCTCACAGAGGTCTTACACCTTCTAGTATTTCCACATGGAGGGCTTTCGGGCTCGAGGTTGCCCGCTTGGGGTCTTACGGGTTACGGCCTCGAGTTTTTGATAGCTCAATGGGGCGACAGTCAATGGTAGTCCATGAGAGATTGAAAGTTTTTGGCTCTGGAGCCATTTTTTGTGAACTTGATGTTGCCTCATGGAGGGCTTATGAGCTCGAAGTTTCTGTCCCAGAGGTCTTACAGCTTCGAGTTTTTCTAACCGGACACCTGCACACAGGTTAGTGTAAGACGTAAATAACAAAGGAGACGGTTATACCTTAGTAGTGATTGCACTTCGAGCCTCGATATACTTCAACTGCTCGCTCCGGGGACACGGTACGGTCCTTTGCTTATTTGCTCGGGTGCAGTCGAGAATGTAGCTTGTGATTACTACTTCGTTGTTTGCTTATCCTTTGGCTCCTTCGATGTTGAAGGTGTTGATTTGGTGCCATGTCGTGTACCGCGAACATCTCTCTTGCTGCATGCTACTCCCCGTATACCGTTTTTATTCCGTCCTTTGTTGAAAACTTCATCATTTGATAAAGGGTTGATCGTACTGCCCTCATGCAGTGTATCCATGGCCTTCCGAGCAAGGCATGCACCCCATGTCTCCTTCAATGACATGAAAATTGAAATTTTGGGTTGTGCCTGCCACATTGACCGAGAGGGTGATCTCCCCCTTCGTTGTCTCGCTCGCCATGTTGAAACTGTTGAGTACTCGAGAGGCGGGCATGATTTGGTCGAGCAGTCCAAGCTTCTCCACCACCCTCGACCTGATAATGTTGGCCGAGCTACCTGGATCCACAAGCACATGTTTAATTTGAAATGTATTCACAAGAAAAAAAATTACCAATGCGTCGTTATAAGGCTAAGACAGGACCTCGATGTCTTCTTCGCTAAATGTGAGAGTGTCTTGTGGTATGTAACCTCGAGTTCGCTTTTCCCTGGTGATGGATATTTTTGTTCGTTTGCCAACGGGTTCCTGTGGAATATCGATTACTCCAACGATCATGTGGATGACATGATGTGGCTCTTCTATTTCATCTTTCCTGTTCGCCTCTCTTTCCCGAAATTGATTTTTGGCTCGATCGCTGAGGAACTCTCGGAGGTGCCCTTTACTAAGTAGTCGGGCTACCTCTTCTCGGAGCTGTCTGCAATCTTCAGTCCTATGATCGTTTGTGCCATGAAATTAGCATAGCAGGTTAAGGTTCCTTTGCGACGGATCTGATAGTATGGGTTTTGGCCACCTGGTGTCTTTGATTTTACTTATGGCTGATACGATATCCGAAACATCAATGTTGAAATTGTACTCAGATAACCGGGGTGCCTCCATCTGTCCTATGTGTCTGTCGAATCCGGCTCTGCTCCCGAGTCCCCGAGGATTCTGATCTCGATCTGCCCTTCAGACGTTTCGGGGTATGTTACGCCTTGGGGCGTTTCTTCGATCTTTAGTGTATGGTTGGTACCTTTCCTTGTTTGACCTTGGTTCCTTTGACAGGAGCCTGCTAGGATATACTGAGCCCGAGGGGGCTCCCAGTTGGTCGTCCTCGACCGTAATTTTTGATTGATACCGATTGTGGACATCCGCCCAAGTCACAGCGGGATATTCAACCAAGTTCTGCTTTAGCTGTTTCAAAGCTATCAAGCTTTGTTCATTCAAACCTTGGGTGAAGGCCTGCACTGCCCAATCATCGGAGACTGGTGGTAATTCCATTTGTTCCATTTGAAAGCGAGATACAAACTCCCACAACATCTCATTTTCTCTTTGTTTGATTTTGAAGACGTCGAATTTCCTTGTAGCAACTTTGATGGCACCGACATGTGCCTTTATAAAAGAATCTACCAGCATGGCAAATGAGTCTATCGAATTCGGGGATAGGTTGCGATACCACATCATGGCCCCTTTTGAAAGGGTTTCTCCAAATTTTTTTAATAGGACGGATTCAATCTCGTCGTCCTTTAGGTCATTTCCCTTTACAGCACAAGTGTAAGCAGTGATGTGCTCGTTGGGGTTCGAGGTTCCGTTGTATTTCGGGAGATCGGGCATTCTAAATTTCTTTGGATGGGATTTGGAGCAACACTTGATGGGAATGACTTTTGTAAGAAATTCTTTGAATCTACACCCTTCAGGATCGGGGGTGCGCCCGAAATTTAATCGACCCTTGAATTGTAGGTCTCCACCTTTTTGTCATTGGCTTCTATCTTCTTTTCGCCCGATTCAATCCTCTTTGTGAGATCCTCGAGCAACTTCATAATAGCAGGGTTGGTTGCTGACCCGTTGTTGCTCGATATTTTCGGTACTTGTTCGGCTCGAGGAGCCATTTCTAGTACTGTTGTGCTTTGGAGTTTTTTGGTGGATTTGCAGTTAAGCAATCGCCAGCTATTGTGCCTGCAATATCTCAAAAATAACGTGAAGGCTAACCTCTCGTTCCTCCCGAGCTGGGGTTTTCTGAGTTTCTTATTGGTTTTCTTGGCGTATACTCCCGTTAGTGTGGGAGCTTATATTGATGTGTTGGGTGTTGCGTGAGCCCACCTCCACGGGGATTGGCTTTGGTGCGTCCTCAAGGTTTCGCAGTGGTACATCGGCGCCTGAAACAGCTACACCATTCTCTCTATGGTCCTTAGGACCGTTGTTTTCAGGTGCATTTACTCTGTTAGACATTTTGACCTTAAATCAAAGATTCTTGGACAAAGAAAAAGTGTGAAGAATAACTTATGTTTTCAGTAAACCAGCACCAAAACAATCACTATGATTTTTAGCCCCACGGTGGGTGCCAAACTGTTTACCTTGAAAACGGTAATTGCAATTAGATTTGATCTTGTGGTTCTAAAAGTACGTGATTTATTTTAATACTAGTTGTTAGGCAATAGATGCTAAGTATGAGTTAAGAAAGTAAAGTAAGAGTAAGAGGCAACGTGGTTATTCATACCGAACGGCTGCGAATCGGGATCTCGGATTGGCCAAAGCTGGGCCTTGGGTCGAGCTAATGAGATTGACTGGGAATGATTGATGAAGGACTAAAAGTTTCAAGGGCCTCAGTAATGGCTCTTTATGATCAATGATGAATAATAAATGAGGAACAATCAACGAAAGACAATAAATGGAAGCAATAAATCAAGGGAAAGACAATGGAGAATGTTTAAGTTAGAGAGCAGAGAATGTTCCCGTTCTTGTATTGAATATCATGTGTCTTTACAAAATAACAAGGATCCCCTTTATATAGGAGGGAGAATCCCAACATAGTACATATGCATTTATTACAAAGATAAACAGCTGATACAACTATTTAATGTCACGGTACGGACTTGTACTATTCTTGTAGACCTGGTCAGCTTTAGCCATGTGCCTTTTGGGAATTTTCCGCTTGTCTAGGATAGCTACCGATTTGCACTGCCCCGAGGTCGAGCATTGGGATCCCTCGGGGTCAAACCTCGAGCTATGCTTCGAGGCTTCTAAAGACGGGTTGTGAAATCCGATTTTAGCCGTATATAATACTATTTATGATTACCTAAGTGATCTCCTGTTCATCGCTTATATTACGAGGATCATTTTTTTTTATAAATTGGGAGATCCTAGTAAAATCATAGATTACCTAGGTGTTATATATGAATCCATATGTATTATTTATGATCTCCTAAGTGATTTTCGATTAGTTGCTTATTGGTTGTTAGCAGGATCATTTTTTAATAAAATGGAAGCTCCAATGAAAACATAAATCGCCTATGTGTTATTAGAAATCACCGTGTACTTTATGATAGTCTAAGTGATCTCCAGTTGATCGCTCATTAGTTATTATTAGTATCGTTTTTTTATAAAGTGGGAGATCCTATTGAAATCATAAATAACCTATGTGTTATCTAAAACCGTGTATGTATTATTATAATCGCCTTAGTGATCTCTGATTAACCGCTTATTCATTATTACCAGGATCGAATTAACAAAGTAGGAGATCCTAGTGAAATCATAGATTACATATGTTTTATTTAGGAATCCCTCATGTATTATTTATATTCGCTTAAGTGATCTCGGGTTCATCACTTATTAATTATTACCAGGACGATTTGTTATAAAGTGGGAGATCCTCGTGAAGTCATATATCACATGTGTTATATAAAAAATTATTCATATTACAATATTATTTGCATAAATAATAATAATTATCCCATAACTATTATGTGAATTAAATATCTATTACCGGTAATCATACATTAAAGACGAAAATTCCTAAATAATTTCTTCTATGTGAAAAAAAGAAAAAGAAATCATATACGTATAATTTATATTTTTGACACAACAACAATATCATCATCATCTTGTGGTCCGTCTCTTTGACGCTATTATAATATCGACCCTCTCTTTTTTACATTTAGGCATAAAATTGGATTCTTCCTTTGGCTCTGCTTTCAATAGTCCAATCTAAAATCTCCAGCACACAGTTAATCAGAGTGTAAACAATTTCTTTAATCTTTTGACAATAGACTTTGTCACTTTTGTATGATTTTGTCCTGGATCTAATCTCCACCTAGTTGATTTCTTTGACCCGATCAAAAAAAAAAAAAAAAAAAAAAAAAAAAAAAAAAAAAAAAAAAAAAAAAAAAAAAAAAAAAAAACAAAGAAAATCATAAACCCTAATGGATTTAATCAGTTTTCTATCTAAATTTTGTTATGGAAATTGCAAGGAGGAGTACAATTTGATGATGATGAAATGGATCTGAAACTGAAACCCTAAACAATAACGATCGAAGTTTTGCAACTCAGAGAAACCCATTTGCTTCATTTCCCTAAAAGGTAACACTGCTGCTGCTAAATTCTAGATTGTCACTTAACAGATCTGTAAAGATTGAATCTTTGACCTTATTGACTGTTTAGTTATAGTTGGGTTTTTTTCACAATGATCCATGAATTTGGAACAAGAATAAGGAAATAGAGTTTATTAGCTTTCTGAGAATGGGTTATAGAAACTGCAATTGTTGTTTAGCTTGTGTTTGGTTGAAGAACTGAATCCCTTATAAGTACAAGTTGAATTGGTGAAGAAGAACTGAACCCTTGAGAAATTCTTCAACCCCTTTGATCATTTGAGGAATTTGGGAAAAGACTTACATTTTTAAGGTAAAAAGATCCAATCTTTGAAAAAATGCATGCCAGGCATCGGAGTCCGGTAGCTGGGTATAAGTCTAGTTCAATGGGGATGGGTGGAGTGGCTACTGCCTCGCGGGTTTCACCCGAGGAAACAGTGAGAGGTCGTGGATTGCACAACTTGGAGTACAGAAACTATAATCGAGGTGGATTTGGGCGTGGTCAATCGAAGCAGTTTGGGTTTCAGCAGCCTTCGCATGGAAATGACCTTTTCATGGAAGCTGGACGGTTAGCAGCCGAGTACCTGGTTTCCAAAGGGCTGCTGCCACCGAACGCTCTTTCAGGGAAATTGCCAAATGGTAACTTAAAGAGCCCGGTTGGGAATTTTCAGGGGTTTAAGCGACAAGATGTTGATGAAGGTCGGACATCAGCTCTTTCACGTTTCGAGAGTGGTGTAGGCGATAGGAGAATGTATCCTGATGAACATAACTCGGTGGGTTCAAGAAATTATATGAGAGCAAGGAGAAGAAATGAATCCTTTAGAAATTACATCTCTGAGTTCAACCAAGAATTGCAAAGAAGTGGATCGTCCGTTAGAGCCAGGGCCTACACTGATATGAATGGTCAAGATGTCGCTTTCCCACGTGATAGAGATGAACAGCAAGTGGCTAAAGATAATAATGAGATGTTACCTAGTTCCCTTCTTCCAGGTAAAACAAATCCAGATATAGAGAGTACAGAGGAGTCAACGGGTGGTGATTCAAAACCTGCCTCGGGAGATTCTGGTAAAGAGACAAGTCCCATCAACACTGGAAATGATATCCCATCAGAGGTTCAACCTGAACCAAACGAGAAACCTGATGACATTGAAATGTCCGAGAAAGAAGCTGATCCGGTTAATCTTTCCAACAGTACTGAGGGTTTGGAGAAAACAGCTGGCAACGAGGATCTAGAAGTAAAGTTGTTCAGCGAAGAACATAACCAGACGAGCATGACTGCTAATGATTTACTTAGCTTATGCAGGTTTGGAAACGTTCCCACAAGAACACGTTCTTCGTTGGCAAACAGAGATTTGAAGGTTTGTCATGATTCTGTTACTGTAGATGAGAATGCTCATGAGGGCGGGCTCCCTAAGGAAACTGAAGTGCATTCCCAAGACATCTCTGTGGATGCGAAAAGCCTCAATTCTGAGAAATTGAAAGCGCCATCCATGGAGGAAGAATCATGTCTTACTTATGCCATTAAGCAGTTAAATGAGACAAGTTCCTTATCCTTTCGTGAAAGTACGTTAATGAAGGAGGAAGAGAAATTAGAGGGGCTAACTGAGATTGAAAGTTGCAGTTCTATAACCACGGGAAGAGGTGAGAAAAGAGAGTTGGATGACGATGACAATTGTAAGGAGGGAACTAAGAGACCTAGAGAATTGGCTTCATTAAAAAGTACTTTCTCAGATGACTTTCTCTACCGTTCTAATTCAGTGGAAGAACAGCTGACTTCACAGGAACCAAGGACATCACAGGGAGAGCCAGTAATGTTTCTGTCTGAGGAGAAGAGATTGGTAGACATCTCTATGATACCTGAGGGTGATGTGAGGCTAGGCAGTGACTTCACGGAAAAGCAACTTTTACCGGCTTCCTTCAAGACTTTTGATCTCAATCTTATGGAAACTTCTGATGTGAATGAACATCATGATGCCAATCCTGTTCATATCTTCCCTGTGATTGCTGAAGGTGTAAAACAAGAAGCATCGGTTGATATGCATCTGACCATGGGTAGTAACTCTAATACAAGTAAATATGCTAAATCTGGCTTTGATGGGAGAGATGTTGAGGTGATTGATTTGGACAATGATTCTGAACAAGAAGAGAAGGCTTTCAGTAACCAAGAGAGAAGGTTAGTGTACACCTCCAATTTACTTATCCTTTTCTTTTAACTTTTCTTTTGCGCAGTTCCGTTTGATCTTCATGTTGATTTAATTGCTTTTGTTATTATCATTCAAAAAAAAAAAAAAAAAAAAAAAAAAATCCCATAAGATGGTTGTTGCCTTTTACACAGGTCTGAAGTTGTATTCACTGAAACAGATGATTTTTCTAATAATGCACATAGTACCAACAATATACCCAATGCTCAGGACGGTTATGGACTTATGATTTCGGAATTACTTGGGAATGATATAGCAAACTGTTCTTCTCTACCAGAAGATATGAATTCTCTGCACAATGATATGGGCCTCCATAATGGAGAGGTACTAATGCCATAGTTTTCATAGTGAATTTTTCGCACTGATATTTGTACAGTTTTTCCATTTTACGATTAGCTTTCTCTGCTTCACTTACAATTTAAAGTGCAATAATGCTTATGAAAACGCCTTGTTGTATATTTTCTTAATCATTTTTCTTTTTCCTTCAGGGCATGCTTGGTGACGATGATTCAATATATATGTCCTTGGGAGAAATTCCGATAAGTATGCTTAAGATCTCTTAGCAACACTTTTTGAATCTGAACTTTGTGTTGAGTTGTGTGTGTGTGTGCACCTGTCCATGGTTCTGCCGTGATCCTTACCTATATCGTACATTCCTTGATGTTTTCGCTGTTCATTTTTTTTCCTGATTACGCATATTATATAACCATGTTCTTTTGAGCCTCCAGGGCTTTGGTCCAATGGTAAGAGCGCAACACGTGATGTGTGGGTTAGGTGCATGTCGGGTTCAAATCCTGCCTTAGATTAAAGCCTGGTGTTCAAGTGGAGAAGGGTAGAGGGGTGGGCCCATTATCCACCGAGTTTCGAACCGTGCGCCATTGACCATCGGGATTTTTCGGATAAAAAAAAAATAAAAAATGAATAAAACCATGTTCCTTTGGTAAGGATAGTCCATTAGATTAGTTTCATTTGTTGATCAAGTGGCTTGCTCTACTTATGAGGACTACGTTCTTTCAGAATTAGAAAAAAAAAAAAAAAAAAAACTGTTGCAGTTTTCTTAGTCAGCAGATTAATGTTCATCTATATGGCCAAAAGCATGTACAAAATTATCTGTGCTTTTCTGCTCCTCTCTTTTGATGGATGAGAATTAAGATAACAGGTATCTGGGGTCTTCTTTCGTGTCTAAGTGTGCTGAATGTATTTGCTGTAGGTTTTCTGACAGGCTGGGAGCAGCCGACACAAGAATTCGGGAAGCCATTTTAAGGTGCTATTACCCAGGTTTTCTTGAGATGTATTATCACAAATTTTTCTTTATGCCTAAGCCTAATGTCAGTTGTCAAATACTAACTCTTTAGTAGTGCAACTTTGTAACATTGTATGCCTTCGGCAAGATCTTGCTTGTTTCTAGCATATGAAGAATTCCGTTCGCCCTTCCTCTCCGTGTTGTTGGAAGTTGGCAACAATGTGGTTTTCTTTTACTCTTTTGCTGTTTCACCTCTTGTTTGAATTGGAAAATTCTTCTACTTTGTTGAAAGCTTAGTGGTCAACTACTTCCTTTATTGCTCTGCTGTCTATACATTTGCTTGCAAAAAACTACATGTCAATATGTCATCAAAGGGATTGGAAAGCTATACATTGCATCATAACCCGTGCCCAGGGGCGGTGCTAGAGACCAAGGTGCGAGTTCGGTTGAAACCAGTAATTTTGGTCTAAACTCTGTATTTGTCTTAAGAAATCTATTCAATATGTACAGATTTTTAATTTATAACCAATAACTTAAAATGGTTAGAATCCCGAACCCATAATTTTCAGATCCTGGCTCTGTATCTGTTGGTTGTGCCACGCCTTTCTTTTCTTTACTTTGACCTCTTATGATTTCCTTTATACTTCTTGACAAATATAACCTCTAGTCGTGGAAATTAGGTTAAGCTAGAATGGTTTAGTCATGGACTCGTTTATGCAGATTGAAAAAAAAATGGACTCGTTTATGCAGACATCAATCCCATGCTCTTGAAAACATTTTATCCTGTTAACTAAAAACTAAAAGTGCAGCCTGGGGAAGGGCCGGACTACAAGAGTCTATTGTACGCAGCCTTACCCTACATTTCTGCAAGAGGCTGTTTCCACGGCTCGAACCCATGAACTTTTGGTCACATGGCAAAACTTTACCAGTTACACCAAGGGTCTATGTTTACTGCATCGTGGAAATTGCATTACTTGCTTGATTTGTTCATTCAACTTTGGACGGGTGAATCTTTGAAATTTGACTGGTCACTGAATAACATATATCTTCGAATCCCCCTCTAATCTGTCTTTTCTTCTCTTGATTTTCCAGTTGCAGCCACTTATTGGATTGCCTTGTTATGGAGTTGAAGTTCTCTGTGATTGTTTAGGTCTTTTCATGTTCCAACAAGTAGCTCAAAAACAATCATATGAAGAATAAAGACATATGTATTTAACTTTTAAGCAAAACAGCTCCTCTCTTGTTGTAATGATTTCCTAATAAGTAGCTCATACAATCAGAGTTAAATATCAGAGTTAGTTCGCTTGGAGCAGGGCTCGAACCTGTGACTTAAAATCTTCTACATGGAACTTGTAGTAACCAATTCCATTCTGAAGCCAATGTAAAGTTCTCAAAATCCTTTCTAGAAAATGGCCAAAAGTCTGACATGTGAAAAACAGTATTGGATGAATCGAAGTTACATTTTACCTTATGATTATACCTTGGTGACAAAGGGTGAAAGCTAATGAAATGAGAAATGTGGCAAATGCAACACTTTCACCAAGTAGGAAGAGTAAAGACAAGCAAGAGTTTCGTCATCTTACTTTACTAGTTTCATTTCGGTATGATAGTCACCCCTTCTGCTTCCTTTCCCCGTAAAAAGTAGAGTGAACAGCTTCTTTCTAGCTCTGGGCAAGCCAGAGCAAGAGGGGCTCAAAAACTAAAGACCACCCCAAAAGTGTCCTTTCTGCAATTTTTTGAGCAAAAGTTGGGATTATTTGCATTGAATGGCCTGGTTTGAGGTCACTCTTTAAATTTTGTTGCTGTTAGCTCAACAAAAACTACGCTTAAGTCCTAAATAAATTGGGGTCAGCAATAAGAATACTAACATCTTTATTCAAGTTCAATTCATATCATCATTATACCATGTTGTCGTTAGCTCAATTAAATGGAACAAAATTTAAATAGTCGCCTTAAAAAAGGCCATTTGCGAAAATGCCCCCGAAAATTGAAAGGAAGAAGAAAAATTGAATCATCTGATCTCAAGTTCAAACTTCAACAAAGGTAAAAATACTAGCTGATTTTTTCTCATTTATCCAAGCTTTGACGCTCAAAGTTACTCGCTATCTTTGCTGGTGAAATAGCATATACCTCATGGACTTAGTCGGATGCACACAAGCTAACTCGGACAATTATTTAAAATAAAAAAGATTCCATCAATAATTGATCACTCCAAGATTTGACCCCCTACCCCCACTTTGATTATTTGGCATTGGCATTGTCATTTTCCATATTTTTTCCTCGTCAACACTAGCGTCATGCGGATTTCCAGATCATCAGCACACTGCTTTGTCCCACTTTGGTCTCTTATCTCCTTATTAAATTTCTGGCTCTCCCACGTTCCACCCATCCTTTCTTCTTCCACTCACCCATTTATTTTTCAATTCTCAAATATAAATTTTATATAATTCGATTCATGTTACGAGAATGTAAGGACCCGTTTGTCGGTAGATTTTTTTCCCCAGAAAAGTCCATAAAATTTTGCAAGTTTTTGAAATTTTTTTGAAACATATTTTTCAAAAATCAAAAAGTGGTTTTGATCACTTTTTTAAAAATTTCAGAATTTTTTGTATTCCCGCTCACAAAACTGAAATATTTTTTCAAGTGAAATGCACGTACAAACATGATTTTAAATTCCAAATACCATTTTTCAACTTAATTCCAAATACTTTTTTTCTTTCAAAAATTATATTTTTTTATATCCAAACGCCTACTAATTATACACGACTTTAACACGTTGATTTGGTTTAAATATTATAAGGTGGAAAAAGTTATCAACAGAATACCCAATTCGTTTCAATTCATATAATGCTCATTTTTTTTTTGGTAATATGCTCATTTCATTTCAATTAGATTGTTAACAGAACTTGTAGACTTCCATGAATTTAAATTTAAACCTTGATATGATATTTCTCTAAAATTAGCTTTTTAATTATTTTTTAATATCTCCTTTTGTATTATTAATAAAATAATAAGTTAAAATAACGTTTAATTTTGTTTCCTAGCTGAGGAGCCATAATCAGAGAAGAAATTCAATTGAATCTCCTTTGTTGAAAAATCGTATGCTCAAATAAAGCAAATAATATATAAACTTTTGAATCTAATTTTAATAATAAAGGCAGTGTACAAATTATTTCAGGCCAAAAGTTTAATTTTTTTGAATTTATTATAAAAATGTTGGCTCCGCCTTTAGTCATCTACAATATTGAAAAGAGGTATGTTATAAGAAGTACCATTTATTGATAGTTGTACAAAACACCTACTACTTTCTTCGTCTCGTCAAACACTTTTTTTTTGTCAATTTCAAAAGAATGACATCTTTCTATAATAATTTAGATTTAAACTTATCATCTTATCCTTAATTAGATGAATTATATTCGTACTTTTTGCGGCTTATTTTAGACCACAAGATTCAAAAGTCTTTATTTCTTTCTTAAAACTCCATGTCCAATCAAATAGCATCATATAAATTAGAACGAATGGAGCATTTATGAAACAATATTGAATATTTTGTGGTATGAGCATAACTTGTAATGTGTTGATCAGACGCACGCAACGAATTCTATAATTTGTCGCTGACAAAATTTAAATAGAAAAAAATAGAGGGGCGAGTTCATATTCATGCATGTCATTTGTCCTCGAGGATTTATCGGTTATTAAATAAAATCACAACTCATATGTTATGTCACTAGTTAAAAAAATAAAAATAAAAATAAAATGTTTTTTTGCTAATTAAAAAAAAAATATGTTGTAACTAGTCTGACTCCTTCCTTGTTCATATAATTAAATCATTGAAAAGAAAAAAATTATTAACTACTCCCAACCCGACCCGTTCTACCCCACTCCCCAAGTGGACCTTGTCCCCCAAATAGTGTAGTTCTGAGGATTTTGTGGCTATAAATTTCTAAATCCACATCAATTCTAGGGTTTCCTTATTCTTCTAAATTTCATCTCCATTCTCTGCAAATCCACGATCATGGAGAAATAGGTACGCTAATTTTATCTAATTACTGCAATCAAATCTGTTTACATTGGATTTGCCAATAACGAGTTAATTTTTTGTTCTAAATTGAGCATAATAGATATTAATGATTCCTTTAGCTAAATCCAACTAGTTATCATTACTGTAACAAATTTGATTTCGCGACTATGTTGATTTTTAGCTGGAATTTACCCAAGTCATGTAATTCATTTAGAGTTTAAGTTGTATATACTAATGGTGTAAATAATTGTTTCACTATCAGGTCACTTACTGCGTAATTACAGGTAAATCCGTTGATATGCATTAATTGATAATCTGGTACAAATGATAACTAACCTGCTAACATAGGTTAATGTCCACTGATCTTTACACTGTCAGTGTATATAACTTAAATCCATTCATTGAAGAGAATTTTGATATATTCGGTCCCCATAAGCTGGAATGATGGTTGTTTGTTCTCGATTTTGATCTGATTCTTCTTCATGTTGTTCAAAAGGCTAAAGCCCTAGACTTTTTTTTTTTGGGACTTGGAAGGTCAAAAGATCAGTGCTTGACTTTGTGGAAGATGATGAAGCAATGACCACACTTCAAGATTTGGATGATCCTGATCGAAACAAGGTTGAAAACAATGGGTCTGGTATTGTTGAGATTAATACCCCTATTTCGAATGAAGTTAAAGGTAAGGGAGTGGATTCACCTCCCCATGTGAAATCCTCACCGATAACTAAAGGGTTTGGCTTGAAGAAATGGAGAAGGATCAGGAGGGAATCGCACAAGGATGGGGATAGTAACACAGACAGTGGTAAGTTGTTGAAGCGTGGTTTGTCGAACGCCGCTGCAAATTCCATAAAACCTGTGCATTTGTCTGCTGGAGCAATCCAAAATAGTGAGGGATCCGTTTCTTCAACAAATGCACTATTGAGGAGCCCTGGTGTTCTAGTTGATGCCTTTGGTGTAATTGGTGATGCTGGGCTGGCTGATCGGCCTCTAATTTTTGGTGCCACGGACTCAGAGAACAGTGAGGATCAGAGTAGTAGGTCTTCGACTGCAGCCAGTGCTCCAAAAGCAAGGTACAAATCACCTGTGGTCTATGGTTATGTGCCTGATAAGAATGGCCAGATGAGTCTGAGTGGGAAGAGTGTGAGTTCTTTAACTCAAAAGTCTCATCAAGGAAAGGGTCGGGCTGAAACTAGTAAAAAGCCTAGAGGAGAAAGGGTCAAAATCGAGAAGGAAAACTCTCTTTCCAGCATGGAGTCTGACTCACAGAGCTCCAATTTTCTCTGTATGCAGAGTAATAATCATGTAACAATTAATGGTATTAAAGATGGAATGTCAGTGAATAATGGACAATTCAATGATGAAGCTGTTGCCAGAGAACGGCCAGTCAATGAGGAATTTCAGATTTATCTAGATGGAAGAAATGGTAAGAATTCTGAAACTCAAGAAGATCTAGCTGCTGAATCACCCTGGGATGTTAAAGAAGAGAGGAGTGAGAACCAGGGGCTGTCCGCAGATCATGATCCTCTGCTGGAGTCTATCTTCACCCTTCAAGCTGCTCAGGACAAACTTGAAAGAGGTAGATCTTCGGTTTTCATTGAACAATTCGAATATATACTTCTCGTATGATTTTTTTTGGGTGATTGTGATTTCTATTTTCTGCTTTGCTTCTTCAATATAAAGTGTGAAGCAAATTTCTTTTTAGTCAGAAGTTTATTCCAAATTCAGAAATGGATAAGAAAGGTGGCAGTTATTGCATAGTTATGTGTAATGTCCTCCCCCTCCCCACTGCGGGTACGCGTCCCTTCTTCCCCCAAAGTTTGAGCTTCAGTTTTTGACAAATTTGGCCATTGTTCTAGAATTTAGGACTGGCATTATTGCTGGAAGATGCGACAGTAGTGTCATGAAATTCAATCGTGCAGTATTGATAATCTTAATGGCTATGTACCTAGTAGTAGGATCTCTGTGGCAAGATCCACTCTTCTTCAAGAATTTTTAAATAGTTTTATTCTACATTTGGTATCGGCTATGATGCATATATTGCTTCAAGATCATGTCACCAAAATAAAAAAAGTTTATTGAAGAAATTTTATATGCCTTTAAGTTCTTCATTAGGTAATCATTTAACATTGTTTGTAGCTAGTACAGTAAGATTTGGTTAAACTCTTTAAGGAGTTGATATCTATTCATTATGGTAAATTCTGACATTGCACATTGAAGGTGGATATATGTGTTACTACTATTTACTATTAGGACGCTGTTGGCTTTCTCAAGAAATGGAGTAGTTTTAGCGCTAGAATGAATGGGATTTGCACTCACAGTAGTTATAACGTTGTGTTTTTCTTTTGATCATAAAAAAAGGTTGGGGAGTAGATAATTTGGAGATTTGATA